TACTCTCTCTCTCTCTCTCTCTCTCTCTCTCTCTCTCTCTCTCTCTCTCTCTCTCTCTCTCTCTGTGTGTTAGGGTGGCACATCCCACCTAGAGTATCCTAGGGTGACATGCACCAGTTAGGAAGCCCATAGGGTGGCATGCCCCACCCATTAATGTGTGCCAAGGTGGGTCCCCCCACTAGGCCTAAGTCTAGAACCTATTTCTTGGTTATGCTTTCTTACCCAACTACATTAGTGTATTGTCATAGGAGCTTCCCATTGGAAAGAGGATTCAACAAGGATTGAAAGATTTATGCACCACCGAGTTGGTGATCCACAGTGAGGTGTATGAAAGTCTTCTGGAGGTGAGCATGGAGCAAATTACATTTTATTCCAGTAATGGCTCCCCATTGATCTTATCAGACTTGAAATAGATCATTTTATTTTTATTTTTAATGAATAACAGAATTATTTCACGGCAGCAAGAGAGGATCCTTTGTATATTTTTAAAAAAATTTAATGGAATTATTGTTGTAAGTGGCACTTATAAATAGACTCGTCGGTGTAGTGAATAGATAACTTTGCATACACCATGCGGGATCCATATAGCCACCTTTCATCCTGCTTCGAGATATTGCTCTAGCGGTGATATCCATGAGATCACGATTTTTAAATTTTGAGATCTCACTCCCCACGCAGTGTTTCAAAAAGCACTAGGTGGCATCCAGGCGGCCATGGGGGTCCAAGCCACCGAGCGCCTAGCCACAGCCCAGAACCTGGGCAGCCCAGGTTTTGGCCCTTGATAGAGGGACTCATGGTGTGACAGAGGGTATGGTCATAATCCCAGTTAAAAAAAAAGATAGAAGTAGAGAAGACAATTTTGATAATCCAGAAGACCATATTCCATATTTTCATACAATGTTAAAACAGTAAAACCATACAAGCATACACTGATAGTCCAATACACTATAGACTGTACACACAAAAGTTAGGTAGTAGAATTAGAAACTAGAAAGCATAACTGAAAACTAAAAATAAGAACAATAAAATATTTACAGAAATTCAAAAAATATACAGTCTAGGACACAAGAGTCAACACTCAATAGTCAACACTCAAGACCAAGAGTCTTCACTCTTCAGTCATCATCATCATCATCAGAAGGAATAGGCTTAGCTTCATCATATGCATCAGAATTGAAGCCATCATCATCAGAGTCATCTCTCTCTTCAATATAACGCTCGTCCTCCTCTATTTCTTCTTAATCTGCCTCTTCCTCCTCTTTTTCTACCCCCCTCTTACTAGTATGTGCAGATGAAGCCCTAAGAGTCTTGGCTACTCTACACTTTTGTATCGTTTTGTGCTTTCTTGAACTTAAATATTGTATAATTTCCTCCCTGGTAGTCTAGGGAATTTTTTACACGGGGCAACATCCCCCTTAATACCGGCAAGGTATTTTTTAAACCAGTAAATGCCCCCATTAGCTTCATTTCCACAATAATTACATTTAATACGATTTTTGTCATTCGGATTCGGGTTATAACCATACTTCCAACCAGAATCATCACTTCTAGAAGAACCTGGAGAAGATATTTCTATAGAACAAGACTCATTTTCATCATTTTTTTGTTCTTTTAGATTCAGAAGTTGTTTAATCTCATCCCGGATAGCTTCAGAAACCTTTTTACAAGAAGCAACATTTCCTTTAATACCGGCAAGATGTTTCTTGAATCGGTTAATACCCCCATTGGTATCTTTTTCACAAAAATTACACCTTATACAATTTTAACGTTTGGTTTTGAGTTATAACCATACTTCCAACCCGGAGAAGAGGTAGCAGAAATAGACCTATTCAAATGGCAAGGATTTTGTTACTGTTTTTTTTTTATAGAACTTATATATTGCTTAATCTCCTCTCTAATAGCTTCAGGAACATTTTTGCAAGGGGCAATATCCCTTTTAATATCGCCAAAATGTTTCTTGAACCGGTTTATGCCCCTTTCTGTATCTTTTTCACAAAAATTGCATCTAATGCAATTTTTGTCATTTGGATGCAAGTTATATCTATATTTCCAACACGAATCTCCACTTTGACAAGATCCTGAAGAAGACATCTCAAAATAAAACAACCACTCTGAAAAATAAATTTTTGCACTTACTTTGATTGCTCGAACTCCAAACTCCCACCTCTGAGATGTTTTTTGGTGCTAAAATAATAAAAAACACCCTCTAATAGGATTATAAAACTCCAAAACTATATCAGATCTACAGGGTGATGTTTGGATCCGTTTTTTGTAACTTTGAGAAACACTTCGATCTAATGAAAGTCATAAAATTTAATTTTTTTGAGGTTTCTTTCTCTTTAAAATGGGTTCTTGTGGGTTTAGATTGGACATGAACCTAAAATCCATCCTTCAAACCCTTTATATTTCAAAAGAAAATCAATACAACGAAAAAATATATATATATTCTACCCCTAGGCTGGGCGCAGGCCCTGGGCGCCAACCTAGGCGGGTTCCGTACCGCCTAGGCGGCCGCCCAGGGACTGCCGTCCAGTTTGGCCACCTAAGCGCTGGGCGGTCAACTTTTTTTAACACTATCCCCACGTTTTA